CATTACTTAATACTTGAAATATAACTTTAATGAGAGTTAGAATTGTCAATTATAAATGGCTAAAGTAGCTTTCACGTCTATACTAATCTGACTATTGAAGCTTTTGGAAGATTCATGCTAAAAGAAAGAAAAACAACGTAAATGAATACGAGATGAAACGTTCTTTTTTTTTTGTAACAAAGATTAGAGTCCTTTGAAATTAATCCTGGCATGTCGCTGGGAATTTTTTTTTTCCATTTAAAAGCATTTTATTTCAGATAATCGCCCAGCTGGGAGTTTTTGACTCTTGAAAAAAAACAAAAAGAAAAAACAAACGTTATTTAAAGTAAATTATTTGACAAATAAAAAGTGTTTCGTATCAAATAAGCGCAGAGAACTGAAAGAAATAATTTAATCGTGCCGGCTTTTGTATTTGGTACAGAAGATTCCTAATGGCATCGTGCGCAGAAATATAAGAATGCATATTACAGAAATATACAAATACACATTTCCAGTAAGATATTTTTAAACATTTCTAAGATACAACGGTAGAAATCTTTAAAAAAAATTGCTGTTACAATATTTGGACAATTTTGCTGTTACATGCGGTGCATAACTACTCACACAAACCAAGTATATTTGAGTATTCTGAATCGAATATTGACAACAATAAAACAAAAGCAGGAATATACGAAATGAAGTGCATAAAATGTCCAGTATTTCCAAAACATACGGAAATTAAATTAAGATATTTAAGAAGAGCCATTAACTGTAGATAAACAATACAAACATTCTGACATCTGGCAGCAAGGCCGCTGATAGGAAGATTTTTAGGAACTGGAACCACTACTTAATTACTGTGGTTTCCAGGTCCACCTTGACCCAGGGTGGAATTCAATCTAAAAGAGTCACAGTTATGACAAATAGTTAACCCCCCCAAACATGTGTCAAAACATTAGGAAAGTGTAAAAATACATTTTTATAGTAAAAAATACCAGCCATACATTTTTGAAAAGAAAAATATTAGCAGAAATACATTTTTACTCTCGACAAAAACCCTCTTTACAAAAATACGTCAATGAAACCTAATCTGCAAACTGACCACTTACAAAGAATACTTATTCTATTCATACGAACCTATCCTAAAAATACTGTTGACATATCAGCCTCACTATCTTAGGCTGAAATGTCGTAAAACAAAATAAACCAAACCAAACACATTGGCAGTTCACCGCAATACATAGGATGACAATGACAGTCTGATGAGAAGAGAAAAATATTCACTGTGAAGAAATTGCATTGCTAATGCTGTGATCTTAAAATTCTCTACAGTGAAACTCAAACTGGGCTTATATGCAATATCACCAAACAACGAAAAAACAATAAATACACAAAGCACTATACGAATTAATACAGAAAAGTACTGTGTAGCTAGGGCCAGCAGTACATACACTAATTTTATGATGCGACCCACATAAAATTAGCTTCACAATTAGGTCATCAAAAGTCGCATGATTAAAAAGTATATACGGTAAATATGTAATTAAAATAATCAGTAAATATAAAATGTTACTATCGTTTAAGCGTATCAAATTTTCTAAATACTATGAACGTTGGTAAAATCTGCTCTGTGTTTTATTCTAAGAATAATAATCGTAGAATTTAGCATTAATGATGTCTTCGTATAAAGTTTCTATATAGTTAACCGTTTTCACTTTGTTCACGATCTTTAGTAAAGTGTTCAATTGAAATTGATTTAAGATTCTTCTTCTTCTGCTTCTTAGAGAGAATTTTACTAAGTGTGATTTTTGTAAGGGATGAGAAAGGAAGTGCATATTCTGAGGATATGTAGGATATATACGTATTGGCCCTGAACTTGAATCAGTTAATATTGTAATGGTTATAGAAGCATCCCCGCGTGAATCTGTTTCACAAAGGAACAGTTCTGGGGAAGAAAATATCTGAGTAGAACATACTCCTTACCAACGGAAAACAAAATGATTGAAAGCTTGTATATCACATCAAACTCTTTGGTCATTAATACTCTAATAGGTTCAATTCCCAGTGGATGTCTGACATTTATTATTTTCTAAACGGGATTTTCTCCTTCTTAGATTTATTTTCGTTTTCTGACCTGAAATTTCGAGAGATATTGATCTTAAATGCAGTATTCGCAGTTACTTGATCGACGACGCCCTTCTTGACCGATTAGGTTAAAAGCAAGTCCGATCTAACGATAGTTTCTACTACAAAACTGGATGCAGTTTCGAATCATACCAGAGAGCCCATATTTTTCATTAATAAGAATTCTCAAATATTCAGGCCGGTAGACGAAATATGCTATACTGTTTAAAATAAAGGGATCGTCAGCTCCACATTTAATTACGAAGTCATATATATATATATATATATATATATATATATATATATATATATATATATATATGAAGAAAAATATATACGAAAAAACAAACAAAAAATCCTTATATACAATTTATACTGTTTTAATGTTAATATGTCAACGTCGGACTTGTCCGACGTTATCATATTAACATTAAAACAGTATAAATTGTATATAAGGATTTTTGTTTGTTTTTTCCGTATATATTTTTCTTCATATATTTGGATCTATATCCATATATTTATATAAATATATATATATATATATATATATATATATATATATATATATATATATATATATATATATATACATATATATATATATATATATATATATATATACATATATATATATATATATATATATATACACACACATATATATACATAGACATATATATATATATACATATACATATACATGTATATGTGTGTGTGTGTATATATGTGTGTGTGTTTTAGTGTCACTTTAAACGTTATTTTTTAGTTGATATCTACATTTAAGCAGATGATCATAAATTCATGACTAAAGAACCGAACCAAAAAAACAGCGGATATGCGAAACAAAATATATTGACTAGAATTTCTCCGCTGAAATCTTTTTCAAAACGGTTTGGTTTGTTTTACGGCATACCCACCTCAATAGGTTTTTTTTAATGCCGACAAGAATTTTAATGCTGGTAATATTTGTTTTCAAAAATTCATTACTGATAATAACTTTTTTTTAAAGAATGTATTGCTGGTATTAAAAACTATTTTTACACTTTCATAGTAATTTGACCCCAGTATTTTTTTTGGGGGGGGGTTAACTAGTTGCCCATAGCTGAGACCCTAACAGGTTCTACCACCACATGGCAGGGTGGAACTGGGAACACCATCAATTAAGAGCTGGTTCCACGCTCCTCAAAAGTCCTGATCAGAGGCCTTGCTGTTGGATGTAGTTTATCGTCTTACCAAGGACGCATATACAAGCTGTAGAAATGGGGAAAGTATTTTTGCGCAAATATAATTAGCGTCTGTGTCGTTTGAACGAAGAGTTTTATCAAGGCAAAAATATGAAACTATAATTTTTCTCGATTTGGAAATTCGTATTAGGAAGCCAGCATATGGACTAATCGCTACCGAGCATTGTTTATTTCACTCTATACAAAAACCTTGTCAGCTCGGCGATTCAAACAAGGCCTAGATATAGAAAAGTTTCCCAAAGAACAATCAGACTTTTCCGCATAAGTTTAGCGGGAAGATACAGAAATCAGTTTAACTTTTATCTGATAACTGGCTAATTACAGTATGAATTGATATGAATAAAAGGTTTTGTAAAAAAAATAAAAAATAAAAAAATGGAGAAACGTTTGCATAAACAATATAGCTTTGTATGGACAATGTGTGCTGTTGGGTTTATTACATTGGAAGAGGGAACAGACATGACATATTTTCTTACAAAGAGAGGAAAATTAATACAATTGTGTTATTTTCCCGCGTTCACAGGAAGAATGATATTGTTCTAAACCCGTTGCTTAGATTTAGTCTCATTTGTTAATTTACAATGATTGTTATTCATTTGCATTCAGATGTCTGACCGCATTCTTCTTTCAAAAAGATCTTAAAAGAAAGAGAACATATTCTCATTTTTCTCATACATCTTTTAATATAATATACATACATATATATATATATATATATATATATATATATATATATATTGGAAACTGATATTATCTATCTATCTATCTATCTATATATATATATATATATATATATATATATATATATATTGAAACTAATATTATCTCTCTCTCTCTCTCTCTCTATATATATATATATATATATATATGTATATATTGAAACTAATATGATCTATCTATCTATCTATCTATATATATATATATATATATATATGTGTGTATGTATGTATTTCTAAGAGGACAAAATTCAGGTATAGCTCTATGTAAAAGACAGAAGAAGAATATAATATAAAACACTAATATTTCACGGTTATAATTTATTACACTGTAAAAGGTAAACATTATTCAATTTAATTATAACCATGAAATATTAGTGTTTTGCTACTATTTATATATATATATATATATATATATATATATATATATATATATATATATGAATGGCATAATTCCATATTTTTATATATCAAGAACAATGTTGGGGAAAAATGTATGACAAAGTGGAAAAATGAAGCATTTCGTCCTTTAGTCATCGGACTAAATTTGTTATGTTGGTGTGACTACGCATGCGCCCGAACGAGGTATGAAGAATCTTATATTTTTGTTACTTTTATTTAATGTGACCCATTTAATTTGCTTGCTTCTTATTTTCATCACTTTTAGTAGTAAATATGTCACACTCTGATAATAGAAGTTCTACCCGGAATGGTGAAATGTTTTAAGAGCCCAGGCGCAAATTTACTTTAGATGACCTACCGATCATAGAAAAAATGTTATTTTTATAATTTTAACAATGTTGGAATTGTAAATGTATAATCGTCTAGGTTGTTTTTTTAATACAATTCTATTTTTCTGAAGGTCAGACGGTTTGTGTGAAAATTTTTGCAATTTTTTATGACCTTAGTGGATCAAGCGTATGATATATGATATAGCTTACGGTCAAATCACGCTGAAAACACCGGTTCTCGTTCGATCACCGAAGTTAAGCATCGTAGAGCCAGGTCAGTACTTAGATGGGGGACCGCTTGGGAACACCTGGTAATGTAAGCCCCCAAAGTCCAACCCTTACCTCACAGTCGGTGGCGGGGTGTAAACGGTAGTGTCAGAGCTATGCCGCCCGGAACTTCGTTCCTGGTAGGGCCACCCAAGGCGGGCAGATCTGACACACACGCCCGGCTAACAAGGGCTCTGGTGAAAATACAAAAGAGCGTCTGCATCGGTAACCGGCGGCTTCTGGTCGTTCCTGTCTCTGCGTCTGTGGGAATCCCGCGGCAAGCAAGAACGTTATCCGAGTAGGCCTGGGTATCCTACTTCTGTAATTTATCCCAAGAATCTTCTTCTCATAACAGGAAGAAGCCGGCTCAATCCGCCCAGGGTGAATGCCGCATCAGTACAGTAGTACAGTAAGCGTATGATACCGCCAAAATTATTTGTTGAATTGTTGCGGATCCATTTTTTAATTCTTGGAGAAAGGTTTCTATTTAGTGGCCAATGAGGGACGAGATCTCTTCAAGCACTTTTGATAACATGAATTGAGCCGTTATGATGCTCCTTTGTTCAATGAAAGAAGAACTATTATTTTGTGGATCGACAGCAGAATGAATGAACCGTTAATGAGTAAGCAATTAACGGTTCATTAGCGCCCACGCTTCAAGAGGACTGGTTAAGCGGAGGGGGTCATAAATCAATACGGCAAAAGAAAAAATTCAACAAATTCAAAGCAGATTTAACCCCCACCAACCAGAACAGAATATTCATTTCTATGGCTACCAGAGAAGAATTTAAACTGAAAGAAATTTTAAGTTAACTATTAAGCAAAATGCCTTCGAGATCACAACTTGTGACAACATGAAAACCCCTTCGTGCTGAAACCTCTTATTTCTGAGTATTCTGTTAAGATCAGAGGTGGGTGCCTTTTGTATTTTCTGCCTTGTACATATTTTTTTGCTGCCTCTAATTCTTTTTTTCCATTTTTAAAGAGTGGTATATTTTTGTCTTTGAATCAGTGTCAGAAAATTGTCCTCCTGCCGTAATAGACGTACAAAAAGAAAATTTCTATTCGACCTTTTATCTGTATTTTTTTGTAATATTGTAAAATAAATGTGTTTTTCATTTTAAAATTTTATGTAGTGGCTGTAATGTTTTGTAATTTTGCGCCTATAATTATGTTTTGCCATTTCTACTAGAATTTTAAGTTTTACAAAAAAAAGGGATTTGGTAGAAATAAGATTGTTTATAATCGAGGCACTCTCTAGATATTTACATATTAGTGAATTGTTTTCCCATTTGATCAGAGTAAAATTATTATATCGAAATTGTGCGCAGTCTCGTTACAGTGGGCAACTAACGCATTCGATGTATTGTTTTGAAAAGTGTCACTTCTGTGTTCATATAATCTTTTATTCACATTTCTATTCACTTTTCTCTTTGGTATTTTTTTTTATTACAAGCGATCGAGTAAATTACCGCTTGAAATTTTAACTTATTGTTTATGTAGTATTTAGTCTTTGTTTTAGATGTAGCAGTAATAAATTTTATGTTGCGTTTATCTATATCCATATCTCTTTCTCTCGATATATATATATATATATATATATATATATATATATATATTGTTTAAAAATATGATTCCTTCGCTACATAAGAGTTCTCATGTTTCAAAAACGAGAGCCGAAACCATCCAAATACTTATTAAAATTAAGTTGGATTGAGGTGTTTAGTGCCGTTTCATCCTCAAGCGAAATTTTAGGAATAAGCTATCTCTCGGTTTACGTGTGTTTTTAGGCACGGTCCGTTACAAAGTTCGTTATTGTCGGAGTGGCTAGACTATTTTTCTTCGTTAAGTGGTCAGAGAGTTAATTCTAATCAATGTAGCGAAGGAATCATATTTTTAAACAAAAAATATTATTATAATAAAGCTCTACTTATGTATGGTGCACTGTCTTCTTAAAAATAAAAACAAAAATACTAAGGAACCCCGGATTATGCACCCAACGTGTTCTTTTCTATTTTCTGCATACCTGCGCTCTTATATATATATATATATATATATATATATATATATATATATATATATATATATATATATATGACCTCTTTACTATATTAACTAGATCTTTTGAATTTAAACACAGAGTACTAGACCGGCGTCGAGATCAAGATATACCAGTAAATTCTATGTTAATAATTTCTTTCTTACCTGCTCCATGCTTTCCAGCCACCTTTAACCTCCAAAATGTAAATAAAGTGTCAATCGCTTCCTACTGTCCTCTTGATTACTGTTTTCTCTCTCCGCTCCTTAGTAACCCTTTGTATGTTAGTGGCTTTACTGTATTTCTTGTGGTAAAATCCATTAATATATATATATATATATATATATATATATATATTTTAATTCCAAAATGTTCGTACGATCAACAAACTACATGACAAAAGACCTAAAGAGAAACAAAAAATAAACGAAGAAAAATCTTAGACAAGAAAATAATTCCATCCAAGAAAGAAGAAAAGACCAAAAGACAAATTACAGTGTTCGCCGCCAGACAGAGCAAGTTTCAACGATGCACAGCTCGATACACTAGTTAAGTTTGGTGCTCGCTAGATCATCAGGAGAATAGAATGCATCTTAGTGGCTTTATTGCCTTACTTGGGGGCGTAAGATTGTGTGTATCTAAGGGAAAATAGCCTGAAAGAGAACATAACTTTTCAGGTTGGTTTTGTCGTTAACGAACAAACATTAGTCAGAATTTGAACATGGCACGCAGATTTCAATTTCCGTATCTATACCTATTACGGTACGTGCGAATTCCCGCATTCTGAACAGACTTATTCTTTTTTTAAAATCGAGCCATCCCGCCATACCTGGGCTGGAGTTGATCCGTTGTAAATTTCCAACCTTGACATATTTGAAAACCGTTTACGTGATCTTTTTAAGGGGATAACTTATTTTCCATATTACATCTTCTCCCACAGAGGCGACGTCGGAAGACCATCACTATTCTGTCGCTTTTCTTTTCCATGGTAAATATTCAGATGAACTAGATTTCCCGAAATCAGAAACGCCTTATTTTGAAGTATAAGAAAAAATATCCAATCAGACAGCTTCTCCTCCTAAAAAACTACCAATTCCTGCAAATAATTTCGTCGTATGAGCTTTCTGTAACACTTCTAATTTGATATATTCGACTCAATCTACACCATTCCTCCTGATTCTCATAAGAATAATTTCCTCCCATTTTCACGTCCATCCATTAAGAATTCTCAAGACACCGCGACGAGGTGTAATGGTTAGCGAGCTTTTCTCGCTAGAACAATTACAAATGAGTTCGGTCCTCACTGGGTTCCCCTTATTTTCGGTCTTGTGTCACATCTAAGACACGCTTAGGAAATCTGCATTGCACATTCCCATTTTTGGCTGTAACCCTCTACGTTGAGATTCTCTTATATTGGGTGTATTATAATATTAAAAGGCAGTTAAATCTGATGGTGACTTGTTAAAAGATAGCGGCCATGTTATTTGTTTTACTCTATTGAGGGCATTTTATGTATAGAGATTTTCCAAGCTTAGCTCAGATGTGGCACAAGGCTGAAAGTATGGGGCATCTAGTGAGGATCAAACTCACTGCTCAGTCGTAATTGTTCTAGCGAGACAAGCTTGCTAACCATTACACCACCCCGAAGGCATTTTGTGTATATCTGTTAAAAATCGATGCAACTAAAATCTACAACTTAAAGAGTTAAAATATATATATATATATATATATATATATATATATATATATATATATATATATATATATATATACGGATTATTGAGTAAATAACAAAGCGAAAGAAAGAGAATGGTGAAGAGGAAAGATGCATATGAGACTGGAAGTATTGAAACCTACTAATACTTTATGATGTTATTAAAAGAAATAAATCAAATAGCTCTTTCAAATAACGAGATAGCAGCACGTATTTTGTTAAAAGCAGCCATTTAAGAGAATTATGTAAAGAAAGCATGATAAATTATTCAATCGTTAATAACGATTGGGGATTAAATTCTCGTCAAGATCTTTCCAAACTCTTATATCTCGACACATTAACGTCATTTGATATCAGCTTGTCTTTCCATTATTTAGTAGATTTTCGACTGAATTAAATACTTTTTTTCCGAATTAACTCTTCAAGTTTTTCCAATTTATATCATATATTTAACTTGGTTTAAAACCCTGAGTAAGGAGGTCGAATAATATTTTTTAAATGTTTGCAGTTAATACAAAATGTTTGATTTATTCTGGGATTAACTAAGCCAATCAGAAATTCTATCTGGATTCATATATTGTAAACAGTACTAACATTTAAATGAGAGGCGGCATCAGCAGATGTTTCATTAGAGAATAACGATTATTATCAATTGGTGATTAAAATCCTATCCGGTAATACGAGCATAGTTCATTCTCGGTTCGTATGCAAAAAAAAATAACTGGCCATTTAGGAGAAATGCAGTTTCTACTTACTAGGATTCCGGAGGTTAATGGAGGTTACGGCCATATCACATTGAAACATTGGTTCCTGTACGATCAAGCAACTTCGAGATGGTCAGTACGTCGATAGGTAGACATTTGGAATTAGCAGGTGCTACATATTTGGATCTGCGATACTATAATGGATAATGTCTGAAAATTGGAAATCGTTGAGCTGATTTCCAGTTCCATTTAGACTCCTTATGTTCACTTACGAGCAAATACAATAGAGAACACTTTGATTCCACCACACCTCCCGCCAGCGACTGTTTAATTATTTAATATCAGTAAAATCATTATTATTTAATATATAAACACAAACACACACACACACACACACACACACACACACACACACACATATATATATATATATATATATATATATATATATATATATATATATATATATATATAGAGAGAGAGAGAGAGAGAGAGAGAGAGACAGAGACCTGGTCACTTACCTACTTCTCTCAGGGCTGGACCACTTTGTCCCTAACTTCCTGCCTCTGTCTGCTTATACGGATAATAGCTCGAATCC